CCTTACTTTATTCTGTTGTTGTTAATTATATTGAATTATTGGATTATGTTGTGAATAGTTCTTGATATCATTTTGAAACTATGTATCATGGTGTATGATCAGGGCCCAGATTTTTTATAATGGGTACTAATAAAGATGCGGATAAATGCACATATTTTAGGATGTATTAACCACAAAGATTTGAAAAAGAAAAAAAAAAGTGTTTTGGTCAGTGTCATAGCTGGGGTTTGTGTAAGTGGGTGCTTGACTTATCTAAGCTTGACTTATCTAATAGAGCCTTAATGTGAACCATATTTAATTAATTTGAGTGACCATCTAGCAAATTCTCATTATTTGGGGTCTTCATCACAGATACCACTCAATTTTTAATATCAGAAGATATCTTAATTCTAATTACTAACCATGCAAATAAATTGAAATTGAAAATGTTTAATAGATCTAAATATAGTAATGAAATTATATTTCTGTATTTTCATCTCAACATTTTTCTTCATGCAAGTGTGTTCTTTCATGCCATTCCATCAACAAGCATGTTCTTTCACACTGTTTCATAAACAGGTGTGTTTCTTCATCCTCTGTTGTCTTTTATCTCTTTCTTTTATTGCTCCAATGGGAATACTTAACAGTAACAATGCCTAAGAACTTCTTGATTTTTAAAAAGTTCATTTTTACTACAAGTAAAAAATTCAGAATCAATTGCAATCAATTCATTGATTTATGTTCAGATTTATATCAATGTTGTTAGGTGAACATGATTGAAATCACAGAATCAAATGTTATAGCTTCCTTTTTATCTGAAAGTTTCTTCTGGTAATTACTGGCTAGAGGGCGCTATTGTAGTTAACCAGCTCAACAACATATAATAGAATACTTGATGACAACCTTCTTAACACTACTACCTAACTATAGACTTCCTTTCTTTAACCATAGAGAAAATAGAACAGTTCTATTTTCTCTATGCTTTAACCTAGTAGAAATTGTTCAATAGTATTTAAATTTTTCATGTTATCACCATGAATATTATCATATTGACTTGGTCATCATCATTAACATCATCTTCTTAGAAAATTGAAATTGAAAATGTTTATTAGATCTAAATATAGTAATAAAATTTTATATTAGAAGATTAAAATTAGCGATGATGCTAAAAATGTTAAGAAATTGTCCATATTTAAGAAGTATATAATTGCAACATTGTAATAACACTTAACTGTTAACACTTTTATGGTAGTTTCTTATATAAACTACAGTATTTTTGTTTTGTTCAAGTTTGTTTTGTGTAATTAAGTTAGTTAAAGATTTAAGTCTAGTTTAGATATTTGTGTGCTTAAACAATGGTTTGATTTGTTTATTTTAAGTAATTTTTTTTCTTTTGATTTTCTGGTTAAATTGTTGTATACACGGCCTTGCAGAAAAACAACTGTTAGTTGAGCCAAGTTTTCCTTGTTTTAAATAAAGCTTATTATTATTCTTCAACATTGACCAAATAATCATCATTTTTATTGTTGCATGTCCAAAGTTTGCTGTGGTGGAAACTCTCCCACTACTGTCATCACAATTAATGTCATCATTATTATGCTGTAAAATTTCTGTAGATGCCTTCCTGAAAATAACTATGTTTAGTTGTTACCATGACAACCACCAATCAATAAATTTATCAATTACTGGAAGTAACCTCCATTCAAGTACATACACTGATACTACATTAGCAGTAGGCTCATTTCCTAATTGTCTTACTCATTGACAGATTGAGGTCCTCATACATACATACCCATGATGAGAATAACTCTAGTCTCAAGGTCTCAGCAAGATGAAAGTCATCCCTCCTGATGCATAGATGATTAAGGTTATGAGCAAGCCTTGACAAACCCATGTGGTTTGTTCTTCCACCTGTTGTGGGTGACATTGTGAATGGCTTTATTAATGTTATGAGATGGTCACCTTGCCCTGGGATTGTCTCACAGGGATCGATTAAGTACACAATGTGTGTATAGCCTTGTTCCGATGGTGTAAGTTACACCGGGGATATCGTAGTTATCGAACACCGACCGTATGAACGGGGTCACCTGATACGAAACAAGCGCTTTACCCAGTAAGCTAACACCGACAAATGACCGGATTGGCAAGGCTCTCATCTTACAGAACTTTCTGTTAATTGACTTGCCACATGTTGATTGCAATAACATCTGTAGCTATTAAGTTAGTTAAAGATTTAAGTCTAGTTTAGATATTTGTGTGCTTAAACAATGGTTTGATTTGTTTATTTTAAGTAATTTTTTTTCTTTTGATTTTCTGGTTAAATTGTTGTATACACGGCCTTGCAGAAAAACAACTGTTAGTTGAGCCAAGTTTTCCTTGTTTTAAATAAAGCTTATTATTATTCTTCAACATTGACCAAATAATCATCATTTTTATTGTTGCATGTCCAAAGTTTGCTGTGGTGGAAACTCTCCCACTACTGTCATCACAATTAATGTCATCATTATTATGCTGTAAAATTTCTGTAGATGTCTTCCTGAAAATAACTATGTTTAGTTGTTACCATGACAACCACCAATCAATAAATTTATCAATTACTGGAAGTAACCTCCATTCAAGTACATACACTGATACTACATTAGCAGTAGGCTCATTTCCTAATTGTCTTACTCATTGACAGATTGAGGTCCTCATACATACATACCCATGATGAGAATAACTCTAGTCTCAAGGTCTCAGCAAGATGAAAGTCATCCCTCCTGATGATTAAGATTATGAGCAAGCCTTGACAAACCCATATGGTTTGTTCTTCCACCTGTTGTGGGTGACATTGTGAATGGCTTTATTAATGTTAGGAGATGGTCACCTTGCCCTGGGATTGTCTCATAGGGATCGATTAAGTACACAATGTGTGTATAGCCTTGTTCCGACGGTGTAAGTTACACCGGGGATATCGTAGTTATCAAGCACCGACCGTATGAACGGGGTCACCTGATACGAAACAAGCGCTTTACCCAGCAAGCTAACACCGACAAATGACCGGATTGGCAAGGCTCTCATCTGACAGGACTTTCTGTTAATTGACTTGCCACATGTTGATTGAAATAACATCTGTAGCTTGACCACGGTCTCGTTTTCGAGGCAATTCTACTAGGCCTAGTTGGTTCATAATATCAACCAAAGCATCTTTAAAAATACCTTTTTAACTTTATAATTGTCAAAATAATCCAAATAAAACATTACAGGACAAATTTATATTATTACCGTTCGTTGTAAACTTCATATAAATTTTCATGCATTTTTTTGTAAAATCCGCAAAATACCGTGTTAGTTCATTCGCTGTGTCTAAAGATACGACTGAACGAGGAACGGTGAACGCCGGTGAGATACTGTACGTACATGATTTTGAAATTACAGCTAATATGGTAGCCTTATCTGTAGCCATTGCAATTCACACATTCTAGCAAAAGAACCACGAACAACGTTCGTACCCGCACGCTACATTTGGAGGCTCGGGTTAAATGCTGCCGAAAATCTCCTAAATGTTAATAGGTAGGCTTAGGGTAGGTGAAAAAAAAAATTTAGAGTGTTTTAATTTGCTTTTTTTGGAATGCTCTACCAAGTGAAGATGAAAACATTGGATGCTTAAACATATTTTGCCTTTTATTTGTTGATAGTTAGGATGGCCTACTGCCCAACCAATTTAAAGCAGGCCTAGCCCAGGCAGGCCCTCGCCTAATGTAATTTCTGTTTTGTCGTCTTCGTTTTATTGAAACATCATCATGGGATCAATAAAAATAATTTTAATCTTCAACATTTATATATCAGTGTATAAGCGCTATAACTATCTGCTATAACTCTCATGTAGACATACGATAAAAATTGATGTGGCCTTGACTGGATTTCTCATTAACTTGCATCGGATAGGAGTGATCGTGAGAACATGGCTTATGTGAAATTTTATGAAAAAAAGGACAAACTGCCCTGGAATTGTCACATGCATGACATTTCACAAATCAATTGACATTATGGATTTCAAAGTTTATTTTGACATTGAATTGTTGTTCTTAAAATGTTGTATGTGAATTCGGTTTATTTATTTTTATTCTTTCTTTATACTGAAATGCACTTTCAATACAAATGTACTAATTTCAAAACATTCAAAAACAAAAGTAGATATGAAATCAAATGGTACAAGTAAAATGGTAAAGTTGGAATTGATTAAGGATACAATGGATGTGTGACATTTTATGAAAAAAGGGGACAAACTGCCCTGGAATTGTCACATGATACAGTATGGTTTGAATAAGATGTGATGTATGACATTTCACAAAAATTAGTTGTCATTATTGATTTCAGAATTGTGAATGATGGATGTGTGATTATATTGAAATGTTTGTTCTTAAAATGTTGTATAAGATGTGAATCACTACCATAGATGAGCTCCCTACGGTGATCCAATCACATCATTCAAAGTTCAATTGCTATTTTGTTTTCTTGACTTGCAAACTTAATCAGTTTAAATCCCTAAAGCTATATAATGAGGCATATATAGGGCGAGTCGAGTGGCCGAGCGGTAAGGCAGGGGCACCGCGAGCTACAGCCTTAACATCGGCGCTGGTTCCAGGCACTCCTCACCCATGGTTCGGTTGGTAGAACCAAGGCTTCTCGGATAAGGACTTAAAATGGAGGTCCAGTGTATACATCTGGCTCGTGTGCACTTTAAAGAACCCTTTGCTCATTTCAGCCCCTGTGGTTGTGGAATGATGTGAAATTGTAGCTGCCATGAAGCACCTCTTTACGGCTGCTAGGTAGTCACGGACCACGCCCATACGCAATTCAGCACAATGGCCCTGAAAGTTATAGGTTATTCTCCTACCTTTACCTTTTTATATCCTATAAGATGCAAGTCTGCTTTATCATTTACTGAAACCAAAAATTATATATTTTGATTTTTTATTCTGCTCTTCCTTCGTAATCTATTGATAACCAAATATTTTAAATGTTTATCTTCATTTTAGAAAGTTGGCTGTGATGGTGTTCTGAGCTCTGGACTAGTGTACGACAAGTGTGGTATTTGTGGGGGTGATAACACACGATGTGAGGTATACAAGGGAACTTTTAGTACAGTGTTGATGAATGTAGGCTACAATACTATATTAACCATTCCTACCGGTGCCATGTACATCAATGTTACAGAAGTTCAACAGAGCAGAAACTATTTGGGTAAGGTCTAGGTTGCTTCCCCTATCGCGATGTATTACAAGCATCATGAGGCTATCCGAACGAGCATTTGTCATAACAGAACGCAAATTAATTTTAATTAGTCTCATGGAACTATTATTATTATTATTATTATTATTATTATTGTGATGAAAAGTTATCACAAATAATTCAGTGAAAACATTATAGTCGCTAAACGAACATTACATGTAAATTTTTTTTATATTGTTTATTCCCTGACAAAACTTCCCGTCTTCACCGGGGAGGGGGGGCACTGCTGTATCCCTTGCACTGCTGTATCCCTTGCTGTGCCATTTTCGATTGGTGATGGTCTGCGACCTGTTGACCACACACAATAGGCTCTAATTGTATATTTATTACTTTGTAATTTGCATAACAAATTATTTATAAACCATGGCTTCCTACGATGTCATTATTTATATATAATGGTACTCAACGGTTATTTATATATATTTGGCAGTAAGAAATCATTATTTAGATATAATGACCTTGACCCGATAACACATGTGCATTATATACATATAATGAGTCCAATCATTATATGCATATAATGGTTTTGCAAAAGCTATTATTTATATATCTAATGAAATGTAAAAGCAGTTATTTATATATAATGAGTTTGAAGTAAATTCGTTATTTATATATAATGAAATCAGTGAACTTATTATATATAAATAATTGGAAGTTACTTTTCATTACTATTATTATTATTATTATTATTATTATTATTATTATTATTATAATGAAATCAGTACACTAATTATATATAAATAATGAAAATGTTAAAGCAATGATTTACATATAATCTTTGAGACGTAAATGCATTATGTATAAATAATGGGTGAACTATTCAATTATATGTTAAATAATGAATTATACATAAATAATTGTGTTAAATAATAAATTTACACTTGGCGCCTCATAGAGGTTTGTGCGTTCGATACCCAACCAAATCCCCTGCGATATTTAAAAATATTTGGGGGCAGACTAAAATTTGAGTGCGATAACATATTAGATATACTGTATCTATTCTGTCCTAAACTGCTGCAGCCTCTCGTCTGTGTACTGGAATATCTGTTTGTGTGTCTTACCATATTATGAATGGTAGCAAATAATTATTAATAATGGTAATGTTTGTATTTAACTATTGTGATTAATTTTGTATTTATTTTCAACTCAGCTCTAGCTGGGACAAATGGTGAGGCCTACATAAATGGAGAATGGAGAATAGTTCGAGCTGGCAATTACTCTGTTGCTGGAACTGTATTCCAGTACAAGAGGACTTCAGAGGGGAGGTTAGGATCTGGACAGCAGCTCCTTGCAGTAGGACCCACAAATATAGATCTTGAAGTACAGGTAAGATTTCCACTGTCAAATTGTGCTACTTTGTCAGAGCTATTTACTTAAATTTAATAAAAACCTAAAAGCATAAAAGATAACTCTCTTTGCTTTTTCAGCTAATTTTTCAGAAAGCAAATCCTGGCATTGAATATGAATATGTTCTTCAAGGGCAAAGTAATTTGCAGATGTCCACTACTCCCAAGCCAAAGATAACCACAGAGTCTGGAGATACAATGGTGAGGGCAGATCAGGGTGTGGGTCAAGGGAAAAACCCCACCAAGCAGACACCTCCAAGACACAAACCTAAAGTAAGATGACTATCTGATTTATTTGTGTTAAAGATCATAATTTAAATATCTTGAGCACAAAGAATGTTGATGGATTAAATCAATCACACCTTTTTTTTCTTCAGAAAAGACCAAAGGATAAGCATTCTGCTGGAACACAAAACGGAAATCAACATTCAGGATCAAAAAAGAAGAAAGGCCACAAAGAGGCCCATGCATCAGCACAGGCTACAGCAGTTCCTCATCCACCAGAACCAAGACCAACAGAGGCACCAGTGGTGTCGTCCAAAAAAGCCCAACAACATGAGGATGTAGGGCTGACATCTCCAGATTTGCCACCTAACCTTCGACCAAATTCTCAACCTGTAGTGGACAGTGGTGGACTATGGCCTCATAGGAATCCCAACCAACAGCAGCTTCCTAGCAAGCAGCCAGACTCTGATTTAGGCAGTGCCCCAAGTGAGAATGTCAATGTCACCCCTGATACAGGGACAACTACAGAAGCACCTGATACTAACCAAAATACTCCAGAATATCCAAGAAGACATCATCATGCTCCAAATATAAAAGCTGAAGAAGATTATGCAGGTTCTCCTTCAAACCCTAATACAAATGTTGAAACAAGCACTGAACAACCTGCTCCGTCAGAGAGACCTACTGGTAGTCCCCATGAAGAGGTAGACAGTAATGTGCAGAGTGCAAATAAAGACTCTGCTTTGGTGAATAATGTTCAAACTACACCTGAGCCTCTTATTCAGTTTGGTAATACATCCCCATCTGGTGATGCATCCTCATCTGGTGGTAAATCCCCATCTAGTGACACATCAGAACAAAAGATAGCCCCAGATGCACTAAAGGGGAACCATTTTAATGGCAATAGTAATGATCGCGAGGAATCAGGACACACAACTGCCACACCATACACTGCTGGGTTTTATGGTCCTAAAGCTGGTGATGCACAACCAGGATCTTCACAGGATGGCAGTTATCCATCTGGGAATCCATACTATCCTAATCCTAATGGAGGTGCTATGACTCCTGGAACTTTACCAGATGGTAGGCCAAAAGTGATAAATCCATACAAACCAGGATTCAAGATTCCTGACACTCAGCCACACACTAGACAAGATGATGCCTTAAGAGGAGGATATCCTCGAGAAAGTGGATATGATGGTCGATATCCAAATAACGGTGGTTATCCACAAAGGTACCCACAAAATGTTGGTTACTCTTCCAATGGACGTTATCCTCAGTACCCAGGGGCAGGAACACAACAAGGTGGTGGACGTTACTACCCATCACCAGATGTTGGAAGTGGTTCACAAACTGGCAACACAGGAGGGCTTGGAGCAGTTCCTCCTTATGGTGGCTACACACCAAATTTTGGAGGTGGAGCTGACTCAAGATATCCACAAGGAAGTGATAGTGGAGGTTATAACCCTGCCAACCAGGGCAGATTTCCTGGTGGGAATGGTGGTGGTGTTGGTGGTGGTGTTAGTGGTGGTGGTGGGCTCGCTCCAAATACTGGCAGTGGAAGACAGTCACCTGTTTTGAATCCATATAAACCTGGAAATGTTGGGTCTGCAGAAGTCCGCTATCTTTGGCAGGAGATCGGCCTTTCAGATTGTTCAGCCACTTGTGCTGGTGGTGAGTAAAATCAAATTTATTTGAAACCTTTACCTAGGAAGATGTAGTAGACAAGAGAAAACACTGAAAATTTGCTGAATACATTTCATCTGGATTATAAAAACCAAAATCGAGAGGAATTGAGAGAGCAGCTTAGCTCATTTGGCTATTCCTGGTGGTAGCCATAGTGAAGATCTCTGGGTCCCCAGTTCAATTCCCATCGATGCCTCTCCGTTTGTTTCAGCTGGATGGTTGAGATACATGTTACAATAGTGCACCGTCTTTCGGATTAAGCCATTTTTCCTCTGTGCATTTATGGCCGATGTGCATGTTACAGAATGCAGTACACTCTTCGGAAAAGAGTAGGGGATTGTCTCCGGTGAACTGCCCAGTCACCACCAGAAGTATCCCACTGGAAATAAGTCTTCTTCTAGACTTTCATGGGCTGTCCTTAGTGTTTACACCGAATAAATCCAATCCAATCCAATCCAAATCAGCAAAAGGACTACTAACATTTTGAGAGGTTCAAGGTGAATCACTCTCCCATCCTGCGGTCTACTTACCCATCGATGCATCTCTTGAAAATTTGCCAAATTATTAAACTAAACAATTCATTCCTCAAAATGATCAAATTAAGTTTGGAATATTTATTTGGTTACTTATTTTGAAACTATCATTAAATTGTTCATTTCTTTTACTTTTTACATGTTCACTGACAACTACACTGTACAATAACACTTGCATTCAAGGCATTCCTGCACCACTATTATAAAAGCCTTTTGAATATTTAATTAAATATGTCCCAGTCGACTCATGCATCTGTTGCCTGTGTTGAGAAGATCAAAGCTCAACATTTAACTATAATCTTTTATAAACTTTGCATAAAGTATCAGCTACAAAATATCATACTCGCATACAGGAAAAAATTGTTTACTGAATTTTGCATGCAGCTAACACATTAATGCTAAATTTTGACCAATATGATGATGATTTTATTCACCAGGTACCCAACAAAGATTAATAATGTGTCTTAATGTACAAACTGGTACTGAGGCTGATGAATCGTTCTGTGACAGTAAATATAGACCACCAATGATGACACTTATTTGCAACACCCAGCCCTGTCCTGCTATGTAAGTTGACTTGAAACCCGTAGAGAATGATGTATTACGTCTCATCATGAACATTGTCAACTGTCATAACATATGACACTAAAACACTAAATAGCTCATTTAAAAAGATTGAAAGATTTTCACTCACCATATCTTCAGACCTTCACTATATTGTTCTATGGAAAGGATACCGGAACAGAATTATTATTCACCTGTTGATTAGCAGGGATTTTTTTTCTATTTTAATTTTCAATTTGAAATCTAATAGTTCTTAAAATCTCAAGTTTTTAGCTCAACACAGAGAGTATATCTTAAAACATGACTTTGACTCTGCCTAATTATGTATACTACAGGTGGGAAGTTGGTATTTGGAGCCAGTGTAGCAGGACATGTGGACGTGGTATGCAAATGAGACAGGTGATATGTAAACAGAAGAAATCTACATCCCTAACAACAATTGTTGACATGGGAAACTGCGATGCAAGCAACATTCCAGAAAAAATTAAGGAATGTTCACTTGCAAGATGTACAATGTGGAAGACAGGCAGGTGGCAGGCGGTAAGTCACGCCCAAATTTTGTGCTGGTGTGTTTCTACTGTTATTATGTATAATTTGATTGTGATTTATTTGTTATTATTATTGTTACTATTATTATAGTTTTTCTATAGCATATATCTTATCTCTTATTAAACATCATGTAGTAACGTGTCACAATCATTTACTTGTTTTGTAGTGTTCTGCACTCTGTGGTGATGGAATTCAAAATCGTGCTGTAACTTGTGTAGATGACAACATGAATCCAGTTGATGAAAGCAGTTGTGACATACAAAATAAACCCCAGGATTGGATAGCATGCGCTGGTCCAGCCTGTGACACCCAATGGTTCTATGGTGACTGGCCTGAGCAGGTAAACTTCATTTCACTTTGCTAAGTTACTTTCCAACTCGTTCACATTTGACTAATTTTGACCAAGATGAAGGCCAAATCATACACTTGGTTTTAAGTACACTGCAGGTTTTAGGATAGTGTTTATTCCCACATGCAGGGCTTGTAAATACTTCAGGTAAAAGTTCATTTATGCATGTGGTCTTGCGCAACGTTTTGCCGAGTTGTGTTATATGCATTGTGTTATGCATTCAGGAAAAATAGCATGGTGATCCTTCTGAATAACATTTGCTCAGTTAAACTTACCATGCAGCTTGCAGGTAATTTGACCATAGAAAATGTTATGCAATATGTTTCTTCTTTCTTCAGTGTTCTCGGGAATGCGGTGGAGGTCAGAAGTCAAGGGTAACAGTCTGCACCACAATAGGTCTCCATGGTGATCTGGGTAACACTCAATGTGACATTTCTGTAAAGCCACGTGAGGTGAAAGCATGCAACAGCCTACCGTGTGGTGCAAAGTGGTACGCTTCTGACTGGGGTCAGGTGAGTACTCAATTTGATTCACCCTCCAGATGTAATGTTAATCAGTAGGTCTAAAGTGCTAATAATTTAGGTATAAATTATACAGAAAACAAGAATTAATTATTTTATCTGTTGATCTACAGTGCTCCGCAGAGTGTGGTTCTGGAGTACAGACGCGTAATGTTCTGTGCATAAGTGAGAGTATACCTAAACAAGTGCTGGATGATGCAGCTTGTCCAGGCTCCAGGCCAAATCAACAACAGAGGTGTGAGACAAAACCCTGTGCACCAATGTGGCTGCAAACAGATTGGTCAGATGTAAGGCATACCATTTAAAATATCAATCTTTCTTCAAAAATATATCCTTTGATATATCTGTCAATTAAATTGTGTTTGACCAGTACATAAATCGTTTATAAGAATATACATAAAACAAACAACCTGTATATTCTTATGCATGGAACAGTATAGTTTTATATATGCTTTTCATTATGATGTCCTATTGTCCAGCAGCTGAACAACATTTGTTTTTTTTTTACATTCATACATTACATAAAAAGGCCAATTTTGAAGCTTTTATTAAAATAAATTTGTACCTTAACTATGGGTTTTCACCCTGCTGTCACCATTTTACCTCCAAAATGGGTTAGGTGATTGATGGTTTGGAATAAAGCTTTTAATAGCCCTGCCTATAGCCACATATGTGGCAAAGACAAGTCAAACCAGTCATTCTTTGCCAATTTTGTTTCAGAGATAATGACCAAAACATGCTGGAATGTAAAACATTTTAAAATCTTTTTTATCGCACTAGACTAGAATTTATATATCTATACATTATGCTATGCTGTTATTTTGTCATTTTCAATATTAAAACAACAAATTTTAACGATTTGGTTTCTGCCTGAGAAATGCCAAAAATCATAAACTTTGAAAGTTGATTTCTCAAATATTGTTTTTTAAACAGTTGTATGTTTTAAACTTCATAAGGAAATGTCAGATTTAAATGATTCTTTTACCATTTTATAGCTCTCATTTAACTGTTTAACATTGTATTAATAACGAAAAATTGATTTTTACCACGAGTGACTGGTTTGGCTTGTCTTTGCCACATATTGTGATTGAATTTGTTGATGCATTTTTCCAACAACTGAATATTATTCAAGAAATTATTTTATTTTTTTCTCTACAGTGTTCAAAGACTTGTGGGGGTGGTCTTCAAACGAGAGAGGTCAAATGCATGTCACGTAACATGGATGCATCCATCGAATGTGATGAAAGTAAAAAGCCTGAAACTCAACAACAGTGTAATAAAATGAAATGCACATTGTTGACGCAACCAAGTAAGTACATAGTACATACAACATCATGTAAATATATCCACAAAGATAACAGTGGTAGACATAGATCAAATCTCATGTCACTACTTCAACAGTGGCGTAGCCAGAGGGTTTGGCGCCCAGGGACAAGTAGAAAATTGCGCCTCCCCTTAATTATAATTATGATATGGCAAGACTTTTTTTATTCCTTGTTTTGCGTACTTATTTTTTTAAAGATCTTCGAAGAAGGGGAGAATAAAAATAGAAATAAAATTTTGTTTTCTTGTTTAGCAAATAGTTTTGCCAAAAGCATCCAGATGGAGGAGAAAATAAAAATAAAATTTTATTGGTGAATGTAAAATGGGATGGTTAAATGCTTCAAATATATATAATTAGGAAGAAATATACATATCTTATCTTTGGAGATTTCAAGGCAGGGGAGAAGCTACAGTAATAAAAAAAATTTAAAACTTTTATTTTTTTCTTAAATTTCTATTTTTTGTAGTGGCGTGTGCGCTAATTTGCCAAAAATAAAATTTTCTTTTTATTTGAAATCGTCAATATTTGCGTTTGGTGGGTTCGCTAAACAAGGTATAAAAAAAGTTTCGCCTATTGTGAAATAAATTGATATTGGTTGTATAGGCTTTAGCATATCCTTACTTTTCAGAAATACCCAAAATTTTTTCCGTGGCATGTAGTCATTACAGAACAGGATAAAAAAAAAAAGAGAAAACGGTCGAAATGGACTGAAAAGATCTAATAAATAATAAATCTATAAATTTGCCAATAAAAACAACTACATTCAAATTCTTATTAACTGGAAAATATCTATGCCTGATGACATACATCCATTTCGTCATTTTTTCTAAAAGGTGCTTATTTTTTTTACTCTCATCCTCCCAATTCACTGCCCCCAACTCCGGGGCACGTGCCCACCCTTGAACCCTTCCCCCCAACTAGCTACACCACTGTACTACAAAACGATTTAAGTAAGCATAATCTAAAATTAAGAAATTTAAAAGATCTTGAAAACCTTATGCAACTTGCCGCAAACAAGCAATGTTGGATCCTGAGTTATTTTGAAGTGAAAAAATTGAAAGTTATTTATTTATTTATAGTTCGTCTTAATGTATGTGCGACTTATTGAGACTGTTTTTCTTTTTCTCTTGTATTATTAATAGGAAATATATTTATGTTACTAGATAGCAATCATTATCTGCTGCCCATCCTAAAATGGGTTTACTGCCCTCTATAATAAATGATTTTAAACAACCATAATTGGATTATTATGTTGTTGTATTGTACACATTTATAACTTGGATATAAAAACAATATCACTATCAGTGAATCAACCAGCTATTTGTAAAGCTTATATGTATGGGGAAATTATCACAGTGCTCTCACTTCAGAATTCTCAAAAGTCAGTAATCCAAACAATGATTAGAACTAAAATATGTAAAACATGGAACAGGTGAACAAGTATGAACTAATTAAAGATAAAACTAAAATGAACCGTTCTGATTTGAATTGTTCAACTGATTCAAGATTTTACTATTAACTACAGTATTAGATGAATTTTCTTTTGTTCTTAAAAAGTTATAAATGTTTGTATCTTGACAGGTTCAACGTGCACGGATCGTTACACGTACTGTATGAAGGTTGCTCAAGCACGGCTCTGCTCATACGCTTTCTATAAGAAGTACTGCTGCCATTCCTGTTTCGGACGAAGATGAATAAACGTGTCATATAACTAATAAGTGGATCCTCAAAGTATATTGTATGGGCCCGGGTAAAACAAATGCCTCGTGAGACCAATCAGCACGCGTGAAAATGACACACTGGTTACCTGGTGGATTAACACGCATATCCATTTTATAAGTTGTAAATGCATGAGAGAACATTTATCGAACATGTAACCAAATTATTGGACCCTCAAGCGAATGCTGTGGGTTATTTGACTGGCATTCAATTTCAAGAATCCTGAAGTACAGTGATTCACCTTGGAAACTCAATTTATTTATAGAAGGTGTTACACTTTCTGACTATATGTAAATGTAATTTTTACGAAAAAGTTTATTATTGTGAAAATCATTAGATATTTATAAATGTTTATAAACAAAGTATTACATTATTATATTTGTTTTTAGACTATTAAAATATGACCTCTCCCATATCCCCTCCTATATCCCTTCCCAGATTCCCATTTTTCAGTGTAGATAAAAAAATTGCTCTTTTAAAACAGTAAGATATTTGTACATATATTGTAAAGAGTTATCTAATGGGAATTCTCATAAACCTAATTACTGTCAGAAAATTAAATTCCATTTTATTAAACTTTTATGAAGGATAGATTGTTGAAAATGAATACAAGGGTCATTAATAGTGTAGGAATAAATAAATAGTGAATAAATGTTATTTTTAAGAATTTTACATTCGCTGGTGTTTTATTTTTGTCTGTATAATATTAATAATAACAATAGCAATAATAATATCAGTCTTGCAGCGTGATGTAATGAAAATTACTATGGAAAAATGTGAGTCTTCAGGAGTGATTGAAATTGAGAGAAAGTTGGAGAATAACAGATAGATTGTGGTAAATGGTTCTAGAACTCTGGTGCTTGAGCGAAGGAGACCTTGGGCACAGATCAAAGTGTAAAGAACTGCAAGACGTCAGGCTCTTGCAGTTTTGCTGGAACGCAATCATATCTCAAAAAGTACTACTACAAACTAAAGGGCGTCCTTCAAAAGAATGTAATATTAAAGCCTTTTCTATTGAATGTGTGCTGTTTCTGAATGCTGCATTCATATTCTAGTAGGGTGCCCCTATCTCCTGGTAGTACTTCTTTGACATTCCAAAATCAGGGCATTCGCACCTCTTGCAATTCTATATTCTTTGCTCAGACTTAGTTTTATGAGAGGTTAATGTAAGAGAGTCCATTTTATAGCCAGGTGTCCCAAGCTCCGGGTTGAAGGGAGGTTGGGGGAGGGGGAAAAGGGAGAGACTTTTATAAATGGAGGGCCAACACCACAGCTCCACCATGGTTGGAGGTGAGGTAAGAAAATTTATAATTTAGGCACCTCTAGATGACCGAAAATGGCCCTCTCACACTTAAATTTTAATACTGTATAATTTTTTTTCTACCCCTGTCATCTGGCTAACAAGCTAGACTGGATTCCCCCTGCCCCCGTCATCTGGCTAACAAGCTAGGCTGGATGCCCCCCTCCCCCGTCATCTGGCTAACAAGCTAGGCTGGATGCCCCGCCCTCGTCATCTGGCTAAAAGCATCCATGTTCTGACATAACTGAAGGCGTTTGAGATTTTTTTTCAGATGAACCTTGAAGCAACAAATTACAGTAATTCACACCCACATGATAGAACTATACAACCTATGGCACAGGGGCTCTCAACTGGCGGCCCGCGGGCAATCTCCGGTCTGTGAGTGCATGTTATGTGGCCCATAAGAACAAGCCAAAAATTATATCATTTTCTTAGGCTTGGGCCTTGAATTCCAACCTTGATAATTTTGCATTCTGTTTTGCCGACTAGGCCATTATACAGTGGCGTAGCTAGGGGGGTCAAGGGAAGCACGTGCCCCGGGCGCCAGGTTTGAGGGGGCGCTGAAATGAGAGTAAAAAAATAAGCACTTTTTAGAAAAACACGACAAAATTGATGTATTACATCAGGCATGAATATTTTCCAGTTAATAATAAAAATCTGAATGTAATTGTTTTTATTGGCAAATTTATAGATTGTGATTTCTTTTCAGCCCATTTCGACCGTTTTCTCTTGTTTTTTATCCTATTCTGTAATGACTACATGATTAAAGCTCATCCTGCCATATCTCAGAGCCAAGATGGGAAAAGCGAGACTATCTGTTTTTCTACTCTTTCCCCCGGGGTGCCAAAACCTCTAGCTCCGCCACTGCCATTATACTTCCCCACAAAGTGTAGCCATTTCATTTATCAAATCGGAAGGACTAGGCCAATCGCAGCAACAGCAAAGAAATACTGTCTTAGTAATTCCCGACGACCCATTGTGTGTAATAGGCGTATATAACATTTTGACTTTTGCATTTACTAAACACAAGAGTAACTTTCTTAGGTCAAGATGCCCTGCATGACCATCTAGTGGCTATTATTTTTTTTTTAAATCGATTGCGGGAAGGGGGTATCCCTATCCCAAACCTTCACCCGGCTCGCACCTGCGCCACTCGGATGGCACTATGGCCCATAGTACACATCTTGCCCTGGCCCTTCAAATTTATTGGCCCCTATTGCGATATAGTTGAGAACAGTGGTGTCACAGTTTGTGAGGCCTGGCGGTGACTGTTTGGGGGCCCTAATAAGCGAGCGGAGCGAACAAAC